TGATAAAATTACAATGTTTTGGTAGATTACATTGAAAAACACATTTCTCTCCCAAAGGTTTTGATTAAAAAAGTCCAAAATTTTGCCTGAAAAATTGTCCTTTGTATAAAATTATGAAGACATAATGTGTGCTCATATTTATATTTTTATCAACGCAAAAACATTTTAAGATTAAAAGTACTAGTTTGAAGCTGTTATTCCAAAGCGCATAAAAATAATAGAAAAAAATCAAATATTTTTATACTTCGCTCAGACAATAATAGATAATGTTAATGCGATTCCAATTTTGTTTTGTTTGTTGTACCACGTGCTGAGGGTGAGGCTAATATAATATAGTATTGATATGAAGGGTGTGGCTTGTGTCAGTATGATCTGTGAATACAACTCATACCATTGCCCTCTCCCTTTACATTTATGCACGTGCAATAACTTTAAACTAGATACTACACGAGTGTTCATAAAACGAAAAGAATTGTTCAATGTTCAATGTCATATAATCTGTAACATTTGAAAGTTGTACGAGTTTATTTACTTAAGAAACCTACTAAAGGAATATAAGACAATTATTTTTGAGTATTAGTACTTGTGTTGGTTTATTTAACTAAATTCAAGTGTTTACAAGACCAAGTTTAAGGTAAGGATTGTTTTCAATCTACAAATCTTTCAGTAAAATAATTTTTGTTAATTTTTGCAATTTACATTTCGTATTCTGGTGGGCGAATCTTCGGGTTGAAGTTGGTATACGATTATACTGTTAGCCAGTACATATAAAGGTTTTAAGCTTAAACACAGTATCTCACAGTAGTCCTATCTCCAAATAAAACATTGTCTTAGTACTATTCGCCCTTACTCTTCATACGGTGCCCCCTTAACAATTTACATAGTGAAAGAAGATGGGTTTAAATTCGCTGCTTCACCCTAGAAAACAAAAAAATGTATTGTGTATTGGGGACACTGATAGCATCAATTTGCACCATTCCAATTTTCAATCAGACGTCCATGGTTCCTGCAATTTAACTAAAGCTAAGTGTTTGAAGACGTCACCAATCGCAAAGGGCCTTATGTGATAAAGAAGATTTTGTGTATAGTGACGTCATCAAACACTTATTTGTTTGGAATTGCAGGAACCCGAGAGGTCTGACTGAAAATTGCAATTTGATGACTTTTTGAAGAACGGTTTTCAGTTATTGGCCTTGAATTAGTAAAATCGCGTCAAAATTTGTTTGTGGACACAATAGCAGCTATAATTTTCAATGGATTTTGATGAAACTTGGCGTGAGCATTAGAATTGATAAGATCTCCGTCAAGTTTAAATTTTACGATTTTTCAATGAACAGTTTCTGAGTTATTGTCCTTGACTTAGTAAAATCGCGTCAAAATTTGTTTGTGGGCACAAATTTATTTTCAATGGATTTTGATGAAATTTGGTTATAGCATTAGAATTGATAAGATCTCCGTCAAGTTTAAATTTTAAGATTTTTCAATGAACGGTTTTTTGAGTTATTACCCTTAAACGCGTAAAATTTGGAGACTACAGTTTCCATCTGATTAAAGTGAAATTTGGCGTGATCATATATATTGATGAAATCCGGGACAGTTCGAATTTAAGGATTTCTTTGTTGAACGGTTAAACGGATGAGTTATTGACCTTGACTAAGTCAAAACGCATAAATAACACATAAAAGTTTGAGTGATTACAGGACTTCTAGACACCAGAAAGAAATCGAAATCTCTCATATTTTGACAAGAACATATTATCGGCCCAGTCTCTCAAACAGAGTTGTCGTTCCTTGCAATCCATTTCAACTTCTGGTAACACAAAATACTCCATTTTGTAACCAACAATAATATGACAAATTTCAATTGTATCTGATTTTAGTACAATTTGTTAAGAAAGTTGGAAATGTTAGGTGCTCGAATTTATTAAAACGACAAACCTAGAGAAATGGATCCTTTACCATGTCTGAAAATTTAACAATTTAGAATCCACGAATTATTTGAAATGTTATTTAACATTGAATATGACTTACACTTATTCTGAAGGTTTCAACTAGAATATCGAGCCGTTCTAAGGCCAAACACCAGAACTGTTTGATTAACATTAGTATGCTCTGGTTTTAACAACTTTTTAAGGATGAAGGAACCACTGCGAAATTGACAAACTAATCGTCTCTGAATTCGTGTCAGCTTACAGTTCGTTACGTATGGTTCAACTGAGGGTGTTTCTTTAAAATTCCTATCAGTTCTTAATTTATTTCCATTCACATTATTTCTATCGTTATAGATGTCTTTTTCCCATTCCCTAATATCAAGTTCATTTAACTTGTTTTTTGCAATATTTACAATATATTTAGTAGTTAAAAGCGTATCATTAACTAAATTATTTATATCAACAGATTCGACAAATTTAAAAACATATGATAGCCAAGAGATTTTCCTTCTAATAACATGCAAATACTGAAACAATTTAAACAGAAAACCATTTGTATCTAACCTATAGAGTTTGCACAATTGCCGGATACATTCTAATTTCTGATTTGTGAAACATGAAGTCCACTCCTATATCACCCAGTGTTGACAAATTGGAGGTAAACGTACTTAAACCCAAGAAAAACTTAATTGCCTTATTCTGGACTGAATTAATACAAGAAAAAGATTTAAGGCCCCATATACCTACACAGTAAAACAATATTGGCTCAAGAGATTTATATAATTTGTTAAAAACTTTCAGTTACAAATCACCACCTTGTCGAAATTTCATACAGAGTGACCCTAATGCTCTACTAGCCGATTTTGCCAGTTCTGATTCTGTTTTATGCATATCTAAAATGTTCATGTAACCACAAGCCGAGATATCTATAAGATTCGCTATAAGTAATATATTGTTACTACATTTAAACACATAAATGGACCCAGGCATTGATTTTGGTCGGAAGTGGACAATCTTAGTTTTTGCTACATTTAAAAATAATTTCCATTTTTCACACCAGTCTTGCACCATATCCACCAGTCCATCCATACACTTTTCATTTGGGGCAATTAGTGCGATATCATCAGCATAAAGTAAAATAGAAAGTTCTTGTTCACCAAATTTAACATCAAAGTTACTGTTATATATGTTGGACACTAAATCGTTAATGTAGATGGTAAAAAGTGTAGGTGACATTAGACACCCCTGTTTCACACCCGAGGAAGTTACGAACCAATTTGTCATATGATTGTTAATCCTAACTGCACTTTTTATGTCACTGTATAAACTTTGTAATGCACTTAAACATTTTCCCGAAATCCCACATGTTTTTAGTTTGTACCACAGTATCGTCTTTGGACGGCATCAAATGCCCTGCTTTCTGTCTTAACGTCTATTTACAATATTATGCAGGGTAAATACATGGTCAGAACAGCTACGTTCTTTCTTGAAGCCATTTTGATAATCGGACAGACTGTTTGACGTTTCAAGATAAGCGTTTATCCTCTTATTCAGAATAAAACAATAGACCTTACTAGGGACTGATATAAGAGAAACACCTCTGTAGTTGTTCGGGTCAGTGTTGTCTTCGCTGCCTGGTTTCAGGATGGATGATGCTTTGCTGGCACAGTTCCTTACTCAAAACAGGCTGAAAATAATCTTTGTAACAGTTTTATTACAGTGTCGTTCTTCACGACCTCATTTGGTAAAAGTCTCCTAATATATGGATAATCCCAATGTTTTGATATGAATACACATCCTGTAGTAGATTATCATAGAACATACCCGGTTCGTTGGGTCGATAACACACTGCGAAACACATTGACCATTTTGTAATTATACCATTAATTTGAACCCACAAGATGTCTTCGGTACTGGAATCGAGGATATGAATATTTAAAAGTGTTCATATAACTATAAGTTCATGTTTGATTAAAAATCCAACTCCACCACTTCCCCTCCTGGAATTCCTATGTAATTGTTTACGGTTGTTGCTAAACACTAAATACCCATCAGCACTTATCACTTGGTCCTTGATTTAAACAGTTTCACATAGTCCTAAAATATCACATTGGGAAAATTCTGTCACCTTTTCTCGAAAACTAAAATTTTATGGCTGAAATTTGGTGACCTCGCGGCAATTCTACATTCCGTACCTCAAACACCCCTAAGCTGAATTCTTAAGGATACGATTTCACTATTAGACCGTCTCTTCCTAGTTCCTTCAGTACCAAACGGAGATTCGATTCTTTCTTCAAATCATCTACGGTTTTGAGTCTTTCGATATACACATTACCAAATTGTGGACTATTCTTCAATGTTCTTTTTATGTTTCATGATGTTATCATATTGGTTCTGGGTCTCTGATAGCGAATTAATGCTGGTGTGGATGAACGGGCTGTGGTTCTTGGCTGTATACTTTGTACATGAGTGATTTTGACCACCTCTAGTTGAAGTTCTTTTGAAAGAGTTCATTGGACGAAACTGGCTTGTGAATAGATGAAACAACATGAATCATAAGTTTAGGGATCCGTAGGGGGTACAGACAATTCTATCATTATGTACAAGAAATATGAAATCCTATGCAAAGCCTTCACGAGTACACGAGGCACAGGTCTGGACATGATTTCTATTTCCACTGCATGTATCGCTGTATCGAAAATTCCACATGGTAAAATGCATTATTGCCCGCCCGAGTCCTTCCATTATCGTTAAATGCAATAACATACAAAAACTGTTGCGGGTTGTTCACCCAGGTATTTCGTCTACCATTATGACAACTGATTATCATACGAGTCAGTGTATTATCGTTCAATGTAGTACAAAAACCCATGTGGGTTGTTCAGCTAGTTTCGGTATGACCCTTTTTAGTATTTTGTCAACCATTACGACCAGTTTTTTTTATAGATTTTTGAGTGACCGTTTTTGGCAATCTTCCTACCATTATCATTTGATATATATACTTCAATTCCTGTACAATAATACCTTCCTTGTCTCTATTATTTTACTTCCCTTTATCATCAGATGGAATATGGCGGCCCTAGTATTAAGTTGTATGTTTATTGGATTAATAATACATATACATTGTAAGTTATATTTAATTTGAATTTATATTAAGGTGGTTTTTATTGACATTCTGTACGAATGTTGCAAGAAATTTAACAGCAAATTTTTCTCATAAGGACACGTTCATCATCTGCTTGATCAATCGTACCTTCCTCTCAGAAACGGAATTTGTTTTTAGCTAAGCTTATCAGTAATAGTGTTCACAGTTCAAAATTCGAATATTGAGCCTTCTAATCCGATTTTGAATGTTCAAAAGATGACTCGTCTTTTCTTGAGGCTCAACCATATATAGAAAAGATGTATATAGAAATAGAAATTTTCTAGTTTGAGATATTTTTGAAATGATATGAAATGAATTTAGTTTTTGGTCCTACTTTTTGCATCTAATTGGACAAATACAGACGGACAACGCCATGCACTGTGCGATGAAGGAAATTTGCAAGGACAAAGGCATGAGCCTATATCTTTTTCAATATTCAACTGTCGAGGCACAGTCTGTAGCACACGGGGCCTCAGTTTATTGAACAACTAGTCGCTTTTCCGCGACCTGCATCACTGACTAGGGGAAACCGGGTTGAAAAATCAGAAGTATTCGATGCCGGGATTGAAATCTGGACCTTCAGGTTCGCGGGCAAGTGTCGAACTCACTGAGTCACGGAAAATGCCGAATGTTCTCTTTTAAAAATTATTTTCTCAAAATAACGCATGTTACGCATATCCTCAAAATTGCAAAAGTAGCGCAACTATAAATCCCAGTTAAACTGGGATTAATCCCAACAACTTATTCAGTAATGATCAGACTGTTATATATTCAGTTAATTTTAGATAAAACGAATTCATTTTAAGGAAAGTTATATTATTATAATTTGTTGTTATATGTTGGACATTGTTTATATAATGAAAGATGTGGTACTATAGCTAGTGTTTGTTATAACGAATATTATATTGTTATATTTTCAGGTTATAATTTTGGATATAACAATAGTTATACCTGTCATTGTTTATATAATAAAAGATGTGATACTGTAACTAGTGTTTGTTATAGTGAATATTATATTGTTATATATTTAGGTTATAATTTTGGATATAACAATGGTTATACCTGTCATTGTTTATATAACGAAAGATGTGATACTACAACTAGTGTTTGTTATAACGAATATTATAATATATAGACACAGCTTTATGGAATAACAATCACTGGTTAAAGTTTTATGCAACGTTTCGACGTGTTTCCCCCGTCGTCCTCAGGCACATAATGAGAAGAAGTGATGGGCAAACTATATATACCTTAATGCTTATTATTAAGAACACACAAGAGATAAATGGTTTATTGATACATTACATTAAATTTTAACAGGTACAATAAGAGGTATATAATTCTTAAAATAACATACAGGCTGATTAAGTAAAATAATTGAAGTAAAGTAAATGAATTAAAAAAGATTAATTGAAGATTAAATAAACAACTATTGCTGGTATTGGAGTCTTTTATTAATAGAAATTACATTGTTCATATAACTAACTATGCTTAAAGTTGGAAATTTGAATATGAATAATTACAAGTTGATAAGTTTATCATATGCATGCGATAAACGAACACCTTCATCTCTGTTAAGGTCAGGCTGATATCTTCTAATGTGGATAGCTTCATGAAGTCTCTTGGTTTTATCTATGTGCTTATTGATTGTCAGTATGTTGGTGTTGTCAAAGTTGACTTTATGTCCTGTTTTCCTTCCCATAGCAAGATGTTCAGCCACAGCAGATGTTCCTTCATTGCCGGGCTTGTCTTGATGGTCTTTGAGTGGAACATCAAGGGGTCTCTTTGTTTCCCCTATATACGAGCTTCCACAGGAGCGCTCAACTTGGTAGACACATCCCTTGGGTTTTTGGTTGTTGGAGGGATTCAATTTACCACTGGCTCTGAGCAAATCTTTAAGCGTTGAGTTGCCAGAGAACTCTGTTTCAATGCCAACTGACTTTTTCAGGATCTTCTTGATTTGGTATGATGCCTTTCCGATGAATGGGATAGCTAAGCGGGTTGATGGTCTGTTGGGATTAGGCTGTTGGTTGGTTGGTTTTGCCATTAATACGGATCGAAAAGCTTGATGTACAAAGGCTGGAGGGTAGTTGTTGTGCAAGCAGAATACTTTAATGTTATAATGTTATATATTTAGGTTATAATTTTGGATACAGCAATGGTTATACCTGTCATTGTTTATATAACGAAAGATGTGATACTGTAACTAGTGTTTGTTATAACGAATATTATAATATTATATTTTCAGGTTATAATTTTGGATATAACAATTGTTATACCTGTCATTGTTTAGATAATGAAAGATTTGATACTGTAACTAGTGTTTGTTATAATGAATATTATAATGTTATATTTTAAGGTTACAATATTTTGGATATAACAATAGTTATACCTGTCATTGTTTATATAATGAAAGGTGTGATACTGTAACTAGTGTTTGATATAATGAATATTATAATGTTATATTTTAAGGTTACAATATTTTGGATATAACAATGGTTATACCTGCCATTGTTTATATAATAAAAGATGTGATACTGTAACTAGTGTTAGTTATAATGAATATTATAATGTTATATATTTAGGTTATAATTTTGGATATAACAATGGTTATACCTGTCATTGTTTATATAATGAAAGATGTGATACTGTAACTATTTTTTGTTATAACGAATATTATATTGTTATATTTACAGGTTATAGTTTTGGATATAACAATAGTTATAACCTGAAAATATAATATTATAATATTCGTTATAACAGACACTAGTTTCAGTATCACATCTTGTATTATATTACTATTTTTTGTTATAACGTATATTATATTGTTATATTTTCAGGTTATAATATTTTGGATATAACAATGGTTATACCCTGTCATTGTTTATTTAATGAAAGATGTGATACTGTAACTAGTGTTTGTTATAACGAATATTATAATGTTATATTTTCAGGTTATAATTTCGGATTTAACAAAAGTTATATCTGTCATTGTCACAATAATAAAAGCTGTGATGCTGTAACTGGTTTTTGCTATAGTGGTTGTTTGAGAGGCTGGGGTGGACCTTCTTGTAAACAAGGTAGTACCTATGAATACAGTTTATAAAAGACTAAACGATTTATTGCCAAAATCATTACAGAACTTTAAAATTGGGTTTCACTGACTATGAGTATCTCGTACTTTTTTCTTGTTTATTGACACAGTAGTATCAGTCTAATCAGAATTAGATCAAACTTTCGTTCCATTTTTTATTAGCTTTTAATTTAGCCACTTCAGTTAGGGTCTAAAGACTGGCCTCTTGAAAAATACATTCGTCACAATAACCGTTTAACCTAACCTAGTGAACTCTGCTTTAACCAATCAATTTCTTCATTGTCTCACAAAATCCCAGTGTTGAAGAGAGCAGACATTGGATTGCTTAAAGCAGGAGTAATCAGGTTAGGTGCAAAGGATATTGTGACGAATGTTCGGGAGTAAATATAAAAGCAAATAAAAATGGATCGAAAGTTTGATAAGTAATATGAACATAACATAGTTATATACAAATACAGTAATATACTATAAATATAACAAATATAAAATATCTCTAACTATTTATGTTATGTTTATTTCTATTTTCAGAGAATATAGCTTTAGATTCTAAGTATGTCTCTCAAAGTGGTATATTTAAAAATGACAGAAGTCAATATGGTCCTGAACTAGTAGTAGATGGATATACTGATACAAATAGAGATACACATTACTGTAGTGATACTGATTATTCACCTTGGGCTTGGTGGTATATAGATTTACAACAAGAGTATTCTATAGGTTTTTTAAAGACGTTTCATAGAGATGGTGACAGTAAGTTCTACTACATTATTTCATGTAAAATATTCAACCTTAAATTTACTGATTTAGTCATCTAAACAAGGAAAGGAACTGAAACATCCTACTCTTCTGTACTTAATTAGACTAATGAAGACGGTCAATGCCATGAAGTGTGGGACGAAGGATATTTTCCCAAAACGGCGGCATTAGACTACTCTTCGATTTATAACTGTCGAGGGATCTTTAACGTGCACAACCTGTAGCACCATAGGCTTTCGTTTTATTTTCCCATCCAAGCGACTTAACACTTTTTCCAAATCAGCGCTCCGACCTCCA